GGAGTTTACCCTTCATAGGTTAAACAGATCTCATCATCCCTTTTCTACAGAGGCAGAAGCCTGAGGCCTGGGGGAGAGAACTGAGATCATTGAGCCAGTTGGGTCCTTGCCCTCTAGGTCAGTCCTGTTCCCAGTAATCCAGGCTGCCTCCCGACCACTTCCGTCCTCACAGTCACAGAGACCTGGTTTGGAGGCAAAAGCAGGCTTCAAGTGACTTGAGGTGACAGTGACCAGCGCTACAATGTTGGGAATAGAGAGGAAAGGTCAAATTTGAGAGATCTGTAGAGACATGATTTCAGTTTTAAAACAACAAATTCTTCCTTAGAGCAGTAACATATTTGTGTTTATCATGGAATTTTCAGGTCACATTGGTGAAAAATGACTGGCAAGTCTTTGCTTTGGAGACAAGTTTTTCAGGAAGAGCAGGAGCCCCAGCAATCTGACATCCTGGGAACCTTCAGTGCTGCCTCACTGACCTCTCTCATGCATATGACGGCCTCTTTCAGGTGTTCACTTGAGGAATGAAGCATTGGGTCCTGTGTAGGTTTCTCTTTGGGGTGTTGGAAAAGCTTCTGATACAAGCAGAGTAATTTCAGTTCAACTAGATAGAGTAACCACATTTGGATATTTTTAAATGGCCGGTGGAATTGGGAAAGAGTCTACAAAAGTACAAATTTTCAGTTTAATTTTAACTTTGCACTTCGCTCACACCCAGGACTTGGCAGGGGAAGTGGGCCTTGATTTTTTTTTTTCTTTTTAAAGCAGAACACACCCTGGATGGAAAAGGGATGTACTCTTCACATGGAAGGGTTAGAGCCAAGTACAGAGGAAATGGGTTTGGTATTGTAGCAGACGTTCGGGGTGGGTCTAGGCTTTGAAACTGGAGCACGAGGAAAGTGTGGCCGTATGTGGAGGCAGGCAGGGAGGATGCCTTTCACAGGCAGCTGTTGGGCTGGCATTTCTGTTTTGTGCTGTTTGGTGTATTTCAGTACTTCACAGCTCACCTGCTGCTCCCATTGGGGCCCTCTTCACCTCACAACAAGCGGTGTGTCTTCCCTCATGTGGTTTGGGCTTTTTGGTGGTATCAGAAACCTCAGGTCTAAGCCCTGGCCCCTCCCTCCCCTCTGTGACCTCACCCCGCATGAAGCAGTGGGGATTCTGAAGACCTCACCTTTAAAAAGATGGGGATTTTTCGGGGGAGAGCAGGGTCCCAGGCCCCTCTCTGTATCCTTGCCCGCTCCTGCAGCGTCATCTGAGCCAGGGCAGGGCTGGGCTGTGTGCTTGGGTTGCTAAGGACGTGTAACCAGAGCGGAGACCTCTGGGGGTGGTGCCCACCTGGCTGGTGGAACAGTTAGAAGAGGAGCTGAAAGGGAACACTTACGGCTGTAGGGGCAGAAAGGTGTGATGATCCCTTTCGTCACCCATCATAGGAGTCACAGCCAACACTAACAACAAAAGAAAAGCATAACAAATTTATTTAATCAAAGTTGTAAGTGACATGAGAACCTTCAGAGAAGACTCAAAGACCTGGGGAAACTGCCTATTTTATACTTAGATTTGATGGGGAGTAATAACAGCATGACAAAATGTGATTGGATAAAGGGGTGTAGGCTGAGCGGGAACCCAGCAAGGCCTGTCTGTTCAGATTCTTCTTGGCCTCTCTGTGTAGCATTCCTTTCTCCTAGATATGGGGCAGGACCTCTCTGGAATGAGGGTCTTCAAAGGAGAAGGGAGAGAAGAGAGTAGCCTTTCTCAGCTTTGCTTTGGGAAAGAGGAATTCTAGTTTTCGTGGCCTGCCCTGGGGAAGAGAAGTTCTGAATTCTCTGACTTCTAGGGAGAGAGGGTGAGAGAGAGGAGGGCAGGAGGAAGTCACAGAGAGCTTGCTTCTGAGGCCTTCCAGTCTCCTTTAATTCAGAGTACTCAGCACACCAAAACCCCTTACACTGGGGTCATGTGTTCTGAGGCCCAACACAGCCAAGAACTTGTAGAATTGACTTAGGGGTCTAGGGAGAGCTTGTGCCCAAGATTCCTGTCCCAAGAAGCCATCAGGGGCCCCTGCTTAGCTTGTACCTAACAGCAGCCCCCTGGGTGCAGTAGACACGCTCCTGTGACCTTGTTTTGGGATTCTAGGATAAGCAGTTTGGATGTGCCTTTAAAACGGAGCCAACACATACCCCAAGGAGTGGTTATGGGGATTAAACGGGACTGTGTATGAAGCACCTAGAGTGTGCCTAGCGAGTACTCAAGAAAGATGCGATCATTATTTTTAATAAAACCATTATTAGTGGTTGCTTGCGTATTGTCCTCTAGAGGAGAGGCCACCAGTTTGGGTGCGATGGTAGAAGCCGGGGACTGGCCTTGTCAGGACTCTGAAACCTATGTCTAGCTGTAGCATTTCTAGGTAGCCTGCCCCAGCAGCAGCCCCTTGGGCTGTGGGCAGGGGTGGCAGGCAGCATTGTGCATCTCCAGGAAGGAGGCTGACTTCCTGGACGAATTCCCTGGGCTCCCCAGCACTGCCCTCCGAGGCCCTCCTCTCCTTGGCTGACGGCAGTAAGAGGAGAAGCCATTGACCCATCTAGAAAAACCACATGCCTGCAGTCTTTGAGGGTAGACTGGAATCTCTTCTCATATTTGCCTTGCTTTGGTGGAGCTTCAAGAATTCTCAGGGCCTTCCAAGGAAACCAATTACTAAAGAAGACTCTGAGCCATGTGACTCCAGTGTTTACTGCACGAAGGCGATGGCTCCCCTCCCCCAGTTCAGTTACTCTCCCTCCATCTGCACTGGTCCCCGAAGGCCCAGCTTCCTGGCTCTACACTGCTTTCCTGTCCTGGGGCAGAAGGCCTCACAGGATTTATTCCCAGGCGCTCTTGCCATGACCTTGAGAAGGTGGCTTGACCTGGACATCTGGATCTCAGGGACTGAGGGGGTGGGAAAGGACTCAACCTCCCCCTCTCAGACCCAGTAGGAAGGTGGGCTTTGTGGCCATTTCCTAGGCTGAGAGCTCCTTAGCTCCAGGAGAGGGCTGCACTCCCTGGCTCTCCCACTCTGTGGGCCCTGCCAGATGAAACCCACAAATTGCTGCTGTCCCGGGCGGAGCAGCATGCCTCCACCCACCACTGAAGAAAAGACAAGGCAGCTGCAGGGCCCTGCAGGACTCTGAGATCCAGATGGACCCCAGCACTCCCCTGCTCTGCCCACTGGCAAGAGTGGACCGAGGAGGGGCATAGCAGGCTTCGTGTGGACTCTGTTTCCATCTCCTTTCCCCCATATCTCTACTTGGCCCAGAGATGCCTGAGTAAGAGGGGCACCTGGTCATTCTGGGCCCAGTAGGAAGAAGCTAGGCAAGTTGGCATGCTCAGAGGAGCAGGAGCAGCCCTGGACAGGGACTGGTTAGAAAGCCTGGCTGCTTATCCAAGAGAAGAAAACCTCGGGGCCGGAGCAACCCTTTGAACAATGCAGGACTGCTGTAGACAAGGACGAGCTTGTGCCATGTGACCCATTGGTGAGAAATCAGGGCCTGTGAAAGGAAGTTCCAGAGAGAGAGGGAGGCAGCAAATCTAGCTGATACTGGTGTTTCCTGGCAGATGCAGGGAGCTTGGGCTTCTGTGTCCTGGGTTGAAGGGACTCTTTTAGATATGAGGTGCAGGCAGGGATCACCTTTAAGGTGTCCTCCAGTCCAAAGAGGCCAGGTTTCCCAGAAGCTGGGCTGCTCTGGGGCAGGTTGGAGAACTGTGGGTCAGCTGCCTGGAAGGAGGGCCGCACGCCGGGTCTCCCTTGTTTACTCCCAGGGTCGTTTTGTACCTGCGACCTGGTTACTCTTCTCCGACCTATCTTTTTGCCTTCTTCATTAGAACCTGCAGTTTCACCTTCTGCTAAGTCTACCTCTTAACAGTCCTGTGAGAAGGTGGCTTTTTTCAGTTCTTTCTACTTCATTAGAAATAAAGGATTTAGGACCCAAGTTGTGGACAGGAGAGTTGAATGGGGAAAAGACAGGGCCACAGACGTGCCTCCAAAGACAGACTTTGGGATTCTGTTGACTTCAGCATTTCATATGGACCCATCCTAGGTTTGGAAGTTTCCATTCTCCTTCCACATCTATGCTGGACCATGAAAAGCAAAGTCTAGAGCTGTGCTATCCAATATAATAGTTACCTGTGTCTCTTTGCACCTACATTAATTGAAATTAAATAGAATTAAAAGCTCTGTTTCTCAGTCTCACTGGCTGCACTGCAAGTGCTCTGTGACCACACGTGGCTAGTGGCCCCCGTCTTGGACAGTACAGTATGTTTCCATCCTTGTAGGAAGTTCTGTTGGACAGCGCTGGGCTAGAGGTAGAGGAGAGTTGGAGGAGCCCCTGGTCTGCTGCTTGCCTCGGGGCAGGCCACGTGGGTTCTGCCGTGTGAATGCCAGTAAGCAGTGGTTTTACTCCCTTATTAAACGTGGCCCCCTTGCTCTCTGTGGATGCTCACGGGACCTGCTGGTGGCCAGTGTGGCAGAACAAGACATATTTTTGAAGGTCTGCTGTGATGGCAGGAGTGGGTGAAAGCAAGCGGTCACGTAGGGGTCTCATGAGGGCATTGGGGTGGTGGGGCAAGGCCCAGAAGTCCCCAACAGTGCTGTGGCTGGTGCATGTGGGTTTTGGGAGAATGCCAGAACAGCACTAGAATGAGACCACCAACCTTGCCAACGGCATCAGGACTTACTGGGTTTGTCTTCTGTGGTCCAGCCAAGACCCCTGTCTGAAGTGGCTCCCTGATTCTGCAGCTCTGCTCACCACAGGCCTCCTCTCACCCAAATGTTGAAAAGGCAGAGAAGTCAGGGTGCGCAAATCCATCCTGTGGTCGTTAGCAACACAGTGATCCAGAAAGCTGGACGAAGTGACGGAATGACGGACTGCTTCCTGTGTCTGTCTCCCTGTTCTCCCAGGAGTCCTCTAACACCCCTCCCCTGCTTCAGCCCCATTCTTCACCTTTACTCACATGGTCGGTCCTTCTTGCAGGTGAAAGAACTTGTCCTGGACAACAGTCGGTCGAATGAAGGCAAACTCGAAGGCCTCACAGATGAATTTGAAGAACTGGAATTCTTAAGTACAATCAACGTAGGCCTCACCTCAATTGCAAACTTACCAAAGTTAAACAAACTTAAGAAGGTAAATAGAGTGTTTGGAGTCTGTGTGTGTGTGCCGGGCAGGGGTGAGGAGGAGGAAGGGTTCTCTACTTTGTGTTTAGAAAGCATAATTGAAGGGAAAGCCAGGTGCGCGCACCAGCACGCCAGGCAATTCCCTGAGACTGCTTTCCCTTCTTGCCCGTCAGGGGAAAGCTGGGCAGCTCTGAGCCGGGAGCCTTTATTTTAAAAGCTGTTTCTGCGTTTTCTTTCCCTGCCTTGTTTAGCTTGAACTAAGCGATAACAGAGTCTCAGGGGGCCTGGAAGTATTGGCAGAAAAGTGTCCGAACCTCACGCATCTAAATTTAAGTGGCAACAAAATTAAAGACCTCAGCACAATAGAGCCACTGGTAAGTCATCCAGACCCTCCCCTCCCTGCAGGGGTAGGAGGCGGGAGGAATTGGCATCAGCCAATACTACTTTTGCATTTGTCCTTTTCCCGCTTAATTTCTTTGACTCTCATGCTGTGCTGTGAGACAGAATTGAGCTATTGTTTCTGCTGCGTCCACAGAGAAACTGAGGCCCAGAGAAGTTAAATAGCTTGACCAAGGTCACACAGACAGAATGGGCAGCTATTGTACAGGTGGGGTAGAACCCTAGTCTCAATTTCTGGTCTCAGTTTTTGCTCAGCTTTGGAAACCTGAGCTCTAATGTCTTCAGGTGAGGGCATGGCTTGTTGTCCCTTTTTGGGAAGGTAGGAGTGATCCAAGAATTAAACTGGCCCTGGAGGTGGACTCCAGTTTTCTCCTTGGGTCTCTGGCCTCTGAACTGTGGGATGAGTCAGTCCTGACATAGAACCATGGAATGACTGAGAGCCGTGTGGTGTGAGAGCCTCATGCAGGCAGCCCTTCCTCAGCGTGGCATGGAGAAAAGTGGCCCCTGGTCACCAGTCCTTGGTGTGACAGTGACCAAGCCCTCAGAGACCTGGGTAGCATTTCTGGCTCATCTGCTCATCCGTATAGAGATGGACAGCTCCCAAGCTTCACTGATTTACCAGCCAGAAAGGGGCAGGTCATGCTCAGAACAACACTTTATATATTACCAGGATTTGATTGGCTGTATTCCTTTGATTTTAAGGAAATCAGCTGTAAGATGTGTCACTGATGAGATAACAACTCGTAATCCCAGAACTCTGGGAGGCCAAGGCAGGTGGATCACTTGAGGTCAGGAGTTTGAGACCAGCCTGCCCAACATGGTGACACCCCGTCTCTACTAAAAATACAAAAATTAGCTGGGCGTGGTGGCAGGCACCTGTAATCCCAGCTACTCGGGAGGCTGAGGCAGGAGAATCACTTGAACCCAGCGTGGGGCAGAGGTTTCAGTGAGCCAAGATTGTGTAACTACACACCAGCCTGAGTGACAGAGTGAGACTCCATCTCACAAAAAAAAGAAGCACTGCAGGCATCTAGAATCAGGGAAAGGTCAGGAGGACAATTGACCACATTTGCCAAATTTCTCTTCTGGGTTTATAGGGGAAGTTGGGTATCCCTCAGTTTGGGCTGGCGTTTTCAGGGTTTCTATCCCAAAAGGCACTCCTTGCCCTCCATGGCTGCGCACGGGACTTGCTGTTGGCTAGTGTGGCAGAACAAGACACTGGCATTTCTTTTGCAAGCTCAAATTTTACCTATCCAGTGACGGCATTGGGGCCAACTAGTAGAATATGCTCCCCACAGAACTTCTTTTCAGGTCTTCCACTAGCCTGTTAGGAGAAAGACAGACGATTTTGATCTGTCTGGAAGTCTTGCTTTTGTAATGTCATTGCAAAAGGAAAAAGTCTTTGAAGTTCTGTGTATGTGTGTATGGGTGATTGAGTGTATAAAATCTTTGTGAAACATTGTGATTCAGTCACCATTAGGTATCAGGCACATCCACATTCACACCGTCCACTGCCCCCTGCCCAGATCACACGTGTCTCAGTGCTTTCCCCACCCTGCTTGTCAGTGTGTGTTGCCTCACCTCCCTGGGATGGGAAGCTGCTTTTGGTAGAAGGTGCCGGGCTTGCCCACACAGACCACTGTCAAGACTTCCACACTGCCCTTGGCTCCTGCTGAAAATGACCCAGGTCTCAACTGCAGGGTCAAAGAGAGAACAACCTAGCTCCCGACACTGACTCCAAGGAGCAGTGGTTTTACTCCCTTGTTAGACCTGGCGCCCTTTGGATCAGGGTCTCAGCCTGGGATAGGATTTTTTTGTGCCTCGTACCTCGAAGGTCGGTGAGGTACGAAGTCAAAACGCAGCTCAGTTACTTGGCAGCAGTATGACCCTTCACTTCTTGGGCCTCAGTCTCCTCTACTAGCAAACAGGGATAACATTGGTGAGAACCCATCTGGTAAAAATCTTTGACAAAGCACATCATGTCAAATACTAAGGACAGAGTTGGGATCCTCCACTGGATTTTCCTCTTGTTCTTTTTTGACAGGCGGTATTTCAAAGAGTAAGAGCACAGGTCTGAAGTTGTGCTGCCTGATGAATTACCAATCCTGTGCCTTTCATTTCCACATCTGTGAAGTGAACTAATAATTATTTCTGCCTTACAGGGGTTGTGAGATAAAGTGACTCAGTACATGAAGTGCTATGTTAACTGCCCTCATCATCCTCATTATCAGATGCAGAAGGAGTTAGTTTGTTAGTTCAAGTTGACTTTTGGTTTCCCCCTGGCTCCTTAGTCTCAGGGAGAGGCAGCAAACCTCTTGGCTCCTGCACCAACAAAACCCCAGGTTAATTTCAAGTCGGTCACTGTTAAGACAGAAACTGTAATTGTAGAATGAAAGTGTTAACATTGGATAAGGCTTCAAAGATCCTCCAGTCCAACCCCCCGCCCATTTTCCAGATGAAGACACTGAGGCCCACAAACCGCAGGTGATGTGTCTGGGCAAACACCATGGCTAAGCAGAGCCAGATCCAAGCTTCCTTATCACCTGGAAGTCGTGGTCTGTCCACACTGTCTCATGGCTCCCTGGCCTGTTTGCTGGAGCTGTTCCCCCGCCTTCCTCCCACAAATCACTTACTGTTGACTTCATTTTTCCACTTGCAGAAAAAGTTAGAAAACCTCAAGAGCTTAGACCTTTTCAATTGCGAGGTAACCAACCTGAACGACTACCGAGAAAACGTGTTCAAGCTCCTCCCGCAACTCACATATCTCGACGGCTATGACCGGGACGACAAGGAGGCCCCTGACTCGGATGCTGAGGGCTACGTGGAGGGCCTGGATGATGAGGAGGAGGATGAGGATGGTGGGTGGCAGGGGGTGGGCTGGGGCTGCAGGGGCCCAGCTGAGGCCTTGGGGCTCCTCCTTGGTTTTACAGAGTGGGGTGAGCTGGGTGGTTGGGAAGCCCCCACCCAGCTGCTGTAGGCTGGCCAGCTGTCTGGCAGCTGCCTCCTTCCAAAGCTGTGGAGGGGAGTGGGGCGGTCTGCTTTGTTTGCCATAGTCCCTAATCTGTCTCATTGGTTGACTTCCCTGAAAGAACAGGGCATGAGTCCCATGCTCATGGAACTATCCTGAGATTCTCCAACTGCAAAATAACTCCTTTAAAACCATCCAACTGAGCCAGGCGCGGTGGCTCACGCCTGTAATCCCAGCACTTTGGGAGGCCGAGGCAGGTGGATCACGAGGTCAAGATATCGAGACCATCCTGGTCAACACGGTGAAACCCCATCTCTACTAAAACTACAAAACATTAGCTGGGCATGGTGGTGCGTGCCTGTAATCCCAGCTACTCAGGAGGCTGAGGCAGGAGAATTGCCTGAACCCAGGAGGCGGAGGGTGCGGTGAGCGGAGATTGCGCCATTGCACTCCAGCCTGGGTAACAAGAGCGAAACTCTGTCTCAAAAAAAAAAAAAAAAAACCATCCAACTGAATCCCCACTTCAGTTTTTATCTATTTTCCAAACCGCCCCCCCCCCCCAGAGTGGGATGCTACAGTCCTTCTATAGTGTGACCCGCACTTAGACACTCTCCCAGGAAGGGAGGGAGGGGATAGAGAGGAGGGTGTGGCCTGAGGCCCCCCCACCTTTCCCATCTAGGTATTTCTGTAGTGGAGAGGAGGTCTGCGGCCAGAGGGGTTGTGGGGCCCCCTGGTGGTTGCAGGCCACAGGCCCATACTTAGGGGCACTGCTCAGGTGCTCAGGAGCCCCAAGTGTTGAGAAATGGGGGGCTGCAGGCAGCTTCTTGGGCTTTCTGGCAGTGTGGTGTGCATTCGGGGCCTACAGGAAGGAAGGAGGGAAAAGAAGGGAGTTCTTCTCCCACTCCCTCCCCCCTCGCCACCAGCGCAGTGCCGCTTTCCCATGGGTCTGGCCAGATGAAGTTGAGAATGGAGACACTTGCCTGATTAATTCAGACACAGGATTTTGGTTTTCCTTGTTCAGTTGGGAGTGTTTTGCAAGATACTCAGAGACCGTGTTTGCCTTGGTGGGGATCTCCTGATGTGGCAGACAGCAGCCAAAACTGGCAGTCCTGGGACCAGGTCCCCTAGGCCCAGCTCAACCAGTGATTTGATGTGTGACCTTGAACAAGTCAGTTCTCTCTGTGCCTCAGATCTCTCACCTTTAACGTGAGGAGTTTGGCCTAGGTGCTCTTTCTAAATGAATTGACCTTGCCGCTTTCCCGGGCCCCAGAACTTGTTGCCCTGCTCTGACAGTTTCCTGGTGGTCTCAGTGTGAGAGTCTTTCACATTCCTAACACTTGGGAGGGGGCTTACCCTGGGCACCACTGCAGGATGTGTTTAATTATGTCAGCACTGTTTGCATGGGAGTTAGTGTGTTCCGTCTTTGGGCTTAGGTGGGTGTGGGAGGGTCATGGGCCCCACACTGAAGGCACCACAGGGGCCTGTGCTGCATGGGGGCAGAGCCAGCTCCTCACTAGTTCTGTTTCCATTCCCTGTTTCGATTGCACAGAGGAGGAATATGATGAAGATGCTCAGGTAGTGGAAGACGAGGAGGATGAGGATGAGGAGGAGGAAGGTGAAGAGGAGGACGTGAGCGGAGAGGAGGAGGTAAGGAGGCTGGGGTGCGTAGGGCAGGGCCACCGTCTGCCCCTTTGAGGCAGCCCCACTGAATGCCTCTGTCATCAGCCTTGGCAGCCCTGGAGCCCTGGTTAGGAAAGTTGCTCCCCCGTGGTAGGTAGTGAAGTGAGTCCGTTTCAGAGCCTTTCACTGGGCTGGTTCTGGGGAGGCAAAGAGGGGAAGAGGACTTTGGAGGCAGGGACTCAACCTGCTGCGGTAGACCTGGCCTTTGTTTCTATGTGAAGAAGCACAGAACGCGTGGCCCCATTTTCTGTTTTTTGCATTCATATGCTAATTACGATATTCATTGAGCACTTAAACTGTGTGTTAGAGAAAACCAAAGACTGCCTTGAGCTGATAGGCAGCAGGATAACACTGCTGGATCCCGAATCAGAGAGTGACACTATGCAAATAGAGCGTCAGGAGTTGGCCATTTTCCTAAACAGATTGGCTGGTTCCCAGTTTTTTAACAAGGTCTGTGAGGGGGCGAGTCCCAGCTCTACCACTCGCCAGCTGTGTGTCCCTGGACGATTTACTTGACCTTTCTGAGCCTATTTCTTCATCTGTAAAATAGGGATCATGATAGCTTTCTCACAGGGTTGTTAAGAAGATAAAGTGAAGTGTAAGTAAAATGCTTAAGGACAGTGTCTGACAAGGGGTAAGTGTCTGACTGCTTATTGGAGGCGTTCACACCCTCCTCCAGGTTCCTGGCACTGTGTGTTGGGTTTTGTGTTTGTATGTTCTGAGTCTCTCTAGCAGAGTCATTTTCTAGGACTTGCTCAGAATTCTAAATCAACTCTTGCTAATTGCAAAAGTTAGACCTGGAGAGCTTTCAAGTGACAATACCCTGGACAAGGTGCCTGTGTCCCCTCCCAATTCCCCCTGCAGTTTCCTGTCTCCCTCCATGGAGGAGGCAGACGCATCCGCTCACCACACGGACTCACTCAGATAGTGTGTTCCAGTCGGCCGGCCCAGACTCGAGAGACACAGGCCAATGACAGTAGAAAAGCCAAGTCCGGGGGCAGTGGCTCACGCCTGTAATGCCAGCACTTTGGGAGGCCGCGGCGGGCGGATCACTTGAGTTCAGGAGTTTGAGACCAGTGTAGGCAACATGGCAAGACCCCGTCTCTATTAAAAATACAAAAACTAGCCGGGCATGGTGGTGGGTGCCTGTAATCCCAGCTACTCGAGGTTGAAGCACGAGAATTGCTTGAACCGGGGAGGCGGGGGTTGCAGTGAGCCAAGAAGTCACCACTGCCCTCCAGCCTGGGCAATAGAGTGAGACTCAGTCTCAAAAAAAAAACAAATCTGGTGAGATGAGCTTGGTTTGTGTTTAGTTGTGCTGCTGGGTTTGTCCTCTCCTGAGGCCTGGACTCAGGCTCATCTCTAAAGAATATTGTAAGTATTTTACAAATAAAGTCTTAGTAACAGGTTTCCCTAGAAGAGAGCAGTAAGTTATGTTGGCTAATAGCTGTTACATCTTCCTCTTCCTGTTGCAGGCATGCAGCATGTGGGATTTGGGGGTTTTTTTGTGGGCTTTTTTTTTTTTTTAAATTATCTCACTGACCATCTGCATATTTCCAGCTTTCAGTAAAGGAGAGCTTGTACATGCAAAAAAAAAAAAATGCAGAACCTTAGCAAGCAGACTGATGAGGGAACTCTTTGATGACATTCTAAAAGAATATTTCCCCTGACAAAAAGAAGTCTGTCACCAAGTTCTTTTAAACTTCAGGAACCGGGTTTAGCCAGCAGAGATTTAACTAGCGTATACCTTCAGGAGCAGAGGAAAGCAAGCCCTGTGTTGAGAATGAAAGTCGTACACCTTGCTGAGTTTCCAGCTGGTTGGGAATGATGTCCTCAGAGGGGCTTGAATTTTTCTTCCCCTTCCCTCCCCTCCAGGTGATCCAAGTTTGCAAGCTAGGGAAGGGGCTGGGTCGGGTGACATTGTACTTGCCCACAGAATCTGGATTTCCTGAAACTGGGGTCTTCCCTTGAAGCCAAAACTAGATTGAGGACAGATGCAAGAAAGGATGGCCTACTTTGCACAGCAGGGAGCCTGCTCGGGAACTCATTCTCCTCAGAGAATGTGCAGGCTGGAAAGCTGCCTGCCTTACAGGGACTTCAGATCAGAGTTCTTAACCTGGGGATGGAATCCATAACCCCTTGAAACTGCTTGCAGATATTATAAATGATGCGGACATTTTTCTGGAGAAGGAGTGCAGCTTTCTGCAGATTCCCACGTGGAATCCAAATAAATTAAGATTGGATCCTTGATCCAAAATAAATTAAGAATGTCTGCTTTACATTCCTCTCATGATGTCAAGTCTTGGTGGGGGGGGGGGGCTCTGAGAGGCTGGGGGTGACCCCGGCATTTTTGTTCTCTGTGTGGCTTCCTCAGCATGTCCCAAGGCCGGGACATTTCCAATGTTCTTTTGTCTGTCTTTTCTCCTAGGAGGATGAAGAAGGTTATAATGATGGAGAGGTAGATGACGAGGAAGATGAAGAAGAGCTTGGTGGTATGGCAGCCTTTCTACTCTGGGCTGGCAGCAGCCTGGCCCTTTCACTTTGACCTCAGATTGCTTAGACCCCAAGGCCCCTGGTAGTAGGCAGGACACTCCTGTTAAAGACTGCAGGTCCCCCGCTCCAGCTGTGCAGATGCCTTGCCTCGGTTTCCCCGAATGGCACAGCTTGCTAGTCATGTGGTCCCCTGGCTTCTCATTGGGTGGGTTAAGTTAAAGAGGCGGAATGAATAACTAATCCAAATGCCACTTTCTTACTCTTCCAGAAGAAGAAAGGGGTCAGAAGCGAAAACGAGAACCTGAAGATGAGGGAGAAGATGACGACTAAGTGGAATAACCTATTTTGAAAAATTCCTATTGTGATTTGACTGTTTTTACCCATATCCCCTCCCCCCTCCAATCCTGCCCCCTGAAACTTATTTTTTTCTGATTGTAACGTTGCTGTGGGAACGAGAGGGAAAAGTGTACTGGGGGTTGTGGGGGGAGGGGGGGCGGGAAGGGGGTGGAATAAAATACTATTTTTACTGCCACTCTTTATTTTTTCCCCCTACTTTTTCTTTGTGTCCGGTTTTTGTCCCTGTAAATGCGATAGCTAAGTACACACTAAGTGAGCATTTGTTCCTGACTCTCCAAGAGGATGGTTTGGAGTTCTCTTATGTCTCCTGGTATTTCCCAAGTCTCTTGGGTTGGGTGGAAGGCCATGGCTGGTCTCAGTTGGGTTACTCAACGCCGAGGAGGGGCTGAGCCCCAGCCATAATCTTTTGCTTTGGTTCATATGATACCTGCTTTTCTCGGGCCTGCTAGAGGCATCCAACGCCCTGGTTTGTAAATAGCAACCTAAAGGCGTATTTTGGCACTGGTTTGGGGACATTCCCCATCTCTCATCCCTTTTCCCCTTCACAGATGGTGGTGGGCTTCGCTCTGCAAAGAGAACTCTGATGTGACTCTTGAGAGCTTATGAGCCAGAGAGCTGAAAACGGCAGGCTTGTGAGTTACAAGGAAAATGGATTTATTTGGTAATTATAATTAAAAGAGGAGAAACAAACCCTCAAACTTCAACTTCTTTAAAAGAAAAAAAAAAAAAACTGTCCTATCTTGTTCTGTAAAATATTAGAACGCTTTGTTTTACAAAAATGATGAGAGAATTCTTCCACATGTACTTCTGTGCTTAGAAAATTTTTACAGACCTAAGCGCTGGAGACGTTGCTGCATGTCGGCTGGGTTTTTTTTTCATACACCCGAGCACGGAAAAACTAACGCAAAATTGTATTTTCTTACCTAGTGGAAATCTGAAATGACTGCAAATTCCTAGTGAATGTACAGGTTTGCTTTTGTGTCCCTCTTCTGGTTGCTTTAGAAGTGACGTGTAATTTCTGAACCCATGTTTCATCTGTATAAAAGAACATCTGCACCAGTTTTTCTCCTGCCCCTCAGAAGAGCCAAACTTTGAGTTTTATGTCTGTTTGTCATTGATAAATTTCAATAAATCTTTTTATACAATTTTTTTGGGGATGGCTTCTTTGAGTCCAACAGGCCATTGATCTTTTCAAGATGCATTCCAGATGAACTGCTAGGTGAGGGGGGAATCTTCATTTTTGTCACCTGATAGAATAGCTTTTCTTAAGATATATATATATAATGTGATACTAAGTTTGGGTACTTTTGGTCTTAAAGCAAGACTCGGTGGTGTGTCTTCATTAAAAGCTTCATTTAAAAAAGTTACAAATATCTAAAAAAAACAAATACCCAAACAAGTTAGGCCAACCTTAGAACCTTGTTTTGAATATCTTTCATTGTTTTGTTTGTGATATTGTAAAAAGAATGTATGGTTAAAACTCAGGAATGTATAAAACAAATTATTTCGCAAACCCAGAGGTTTACATATGGTGTTTTATTTTCTTACTTTACTTAACAGTATTGTAATGATTTCCCTGTATCTTTAATTTTCAGAGGCATGTATCTTAAATGGCTACATCGTAGTCCGTCAACCGTATTCTGATTTACTTAATTCTAACCAAATGGTTAGACATTTTGGTTATGTCCAACTTACCACTGTAGTAGATACTGTTATATTACAACGTATTCATACTTTCTGTGGATTTCTTAGTACAAACTCGTAGTAAAGTAGTAGAGTCATCAGACCAAAAGCTAAAACATTGATGAGGCTCGTGTACAAGGTTCCATTATGTTTCCCAGTAGAGTTAAGCTAATTTACTGTGGTTGTTTATACACAGACACGTATACTCATTCTTAGGTATTCATTCTTTACAGCCTTGGATCTCATAGCAAGGCCTAGTTCCTTACAATGCCTTACAGTTACTGTGTGATTCCTGCAGGGTAAAGTGCTTCCAGAAGAGCCTGTGACCCACCTCACCTTCTGGGCGATGCCCTGGCACCTACTGCCCTTTGGAGCAAGCTGCCTGTGGCTCTAAGCATGGGATGGAGAGGTGACCTCCTTTGGGCCAAGTGCTGTGCTAAGCACCCAGGCTGTGAGAATGAACTAGATAGGCATGTTCTTGTTCCTCTCACAGTGAAAGAACAAGGGAGTGGGGTGAAATTGAGAGATACTCTGGTCTGGACTCAGGTTTTCTGGCCCTAACTTCCCTCCATGGGCCTTTAAGAATCGTGACTAGTAGATACAGCAATAAATACTACAGGCCAGTTGCAGTGGTTCATGCCTATAATCCCAGCACTTGGGGAGGCCAAGGCGGATGGATAGCTTAAGCCCAGGAGTTTGAGACCAGCTTCGGCAACATGGTGAGATCCCGTCTCTACAAAAAATACAGAAATTAGCCCAGTGTAGTGGTGCATGCCTGTAGTCCCAGCTTCTCAGGAGGCTGAGGCAGGAGAATCACTTGAGCAAGGGGAGTTGAGGGTGCACGAGCCATGATGACCCCACCGCACTCCAGCCTGGGCGACAGGCATAGAACCTGTCTCACAAAGAACTACAAAATGTAGGGGAAAATGGAAGGTGGTGAATGGGTTGATAATGGGCCTCAGGGAGGAGAACCCTTTCTGTATTCATCATGCCAAGCATTCCTATCAACCTTTGAGGAAGATCATATTATGCCCATTTAACAGATAAGGAAAACAGGTCAAGAAACTTGGAAGAAGTAGAATCAGCATGAAACCCACGCCTATGTGGGGCTATTTTCATTTGATGGAACTTAGGAGTAGCTAGAAAGCTCAGACAAAGGAGAGGAGAGAAGGGCAGAGCTGGCTTTTCCTGAGCCCTTGCTCTGTGCCAGGCCCTTTGCTTCAAATGCAACATCTCATTAATCTTACCAAATCATCACAGCCACCTTACGTAGATGCCATGACCCTTGCTACACAGGTGGCTTATAGGGTAACACCAAAGGTCATATAGCCAGGAAGAACAGCACCTTCGGGAATTAAGCAGGTGTGCGATTCCAGAGCCAGCCCTCTTACCCTTACCGTAAATGCCTCCCACACCCCGACTCCCGCTCCCCAGACCAGACCACCTGTGTGAGTGAGCCGTGTTGGAGTAGTTACCCTTGACCATCACAGCTTCAGCAAGGGCAGTTTCGCCACTCAGTGTGCTAGTAAATGGCACAAGACAGACCCTGGAGAGGGAAGAACTTTTCCTAAGTCACCCCGTGCAACCCTGTTATTTGACCAAAGAGGAAACCAAAGCCCAGAGAAGACAAGTGGCGTGCCCAAGGTGGCACCACAAGGGAGTGACAGCCAAGCCTGGAACCCAGGACTCCCATCACTGGGCTTCTGCACCTTCTCACACACGGCTGTACTGTTTGGGGTGGGGGGAGGCCAGCTGCAGTGACAAGACAGTGCGGTGTTTTCCAGGAAGAAAACAGCCAAGCATTGAGTGAATAGGATACAGTGAGTGCCATGGCTGTGTATGTGTTTTGTGTAGCACTGGAATGCATCACAGGTCCGTGATACAGTGGATTTGGCTCCCTGACATTGCGCTGTCTGACACTGATCACCACTAAAGGGCTGCGCATTTCCTGGTGCAGACCAGTGCCTGGAGAGGACAGTAATGACGATGCTTCTTGATTATGAGCTACTCTGTGTCATGTGCTTTCCATCCATTGCCTCCTTTAATCTTCATGGATTTCACAGAGGAAATCGAAGCTCAGAAGTGAGACAACTAGCCCAGCTAGTAAGTGAAGGGCCTCAAAACTACATCCTTCTGACTCCAGAGACCTTGGTCTTAGCCACCGTGTTAAAAGTACCAGGCAGATGAGGGAAGGGGGGATGGGGGGGCGTTGAGCAATTCAGTTTGTCTCATTTGCTGACTTGCAAAGGCTGTTTTTATCCTGGTTTAGAAATTCATTGTTCATGGTTGGAAGGATTCCCACAGTGGGTCCCTAATAAGCAGCTTTGGACAGCAGCAGCTCTAAGTCGCTGGTCCAGCCCTTGGACAGACCCCTGGGGGCAGGCTGGCCCAAGGGTGAGCAGGCCAAGGAGGGGGCTGGAGATGGTTGCACAGATGAGGGTAGGTCCAAGGCTGGGTCATCTGACTGAGGCCCTCAAGGCTGGCCGTGGACGTGCTAGCAGAGGAGAGGTCGGAAATTCCGCACTCATGGGGCATCTGGAGGCTGCTGGCTGACTGTGAACCGGGGAGCTGACACAAGGAACGTCCTCGGGGCTGCCTGCCAACCATCCGTTTTTCTTGGCCTAGCAACAACTCCAAGGGACCATTGGAAGGACTCACATGGATATGGACCATTCTCCATTCCCGAAGTTCAGATGGGCTGGCCCCATCCCTCTAGGTCTTAGGTAAGCAAGTTATTTTGTCTTGGCCAATCAGCCTAGTCCAAATCCTAACCACAGTGACTGGTACAAGGAAGTACCTGGAGCCCAAATTGGTTAAATGAGGCTTGGTCCCTAGAATCTAGAAAACAAGAATCTTCCTATGAGAGGTGCTGGGCTAGAGGATGGAGGCCTGGAGTTGAGGAGGCACAGCCCTTGGATACAGCCTGCCTGGGAATGAAGCCAGGCCAGAGAACCAGCGAGCCTCCAGGTGACCCCCTCTTGTCCTGGGAGTCCTGATGAGTAAATGAAGTGAGGACTCCAGCAGAGACTTAGAACTTACTGTTTGCTGGGGACTATACATTATTTTGCTTGTGTTTCATCATAACCCTATCTAGTAATCATTATTACCCACATTTCAAAGATTGAACCCATATGAGTGCTCAATGAATATTGACTGCTTCGTGCCAAACACAACAACAAATGCTTATAAAAATCAAACTAGGGCCAGGTGCGGTGGCTCAAGCCTGTAATCCCAGCACTTTGGGAGGCCGAGGTGGGTGGATCACGAGGTCAAGAGATCGAGACCATCCTGGTCAACATGGTGAAACCCCGTCTCTACTAAAACTACAAAAAATTAGCTGGGCATGGTGGCACGTGCCTGTAATCCCAGCTACTCAGGAGGCTGAGGCAGGAGAATTGCCTGAACCCGGGAGGCGGATGTTGCGGTGAGCCGAGATCGCGCCATTGCACTCCAGCCTGGGTAACAAGAGCAAAACTCCGTCTCAAAAAAAAAAAAAAAAAAAAAATCAAACTAGTGTTTCCCAAATTTCCCTGATAATACCTGGGGCCTGTCAGGTTGCCAGGCCTCACCCCTGGGGATTCTAGTCCAGTAGCCCTGGACTAGGGCCCAAGAATTCGTAATTTTGCTTTTTCTTCTTTCTTTTTTTTTTTTTTTTTGATGGATTCTCGCTCTGTTGCCAGGCTGAAGTGCAGTGGTGCAGTCTCGACTCACTGCAACCTCGGACTCCCTGGTTCAAGCAATTCTTCTGCCTCAACCTCCCGAGTACCCGGGATTATAGGCACATGCCACCATGTCCAGCTAATTTTTATATTTTTAGTAGAGATGGGGTTTCACCATGTTGGCCAGGATGGTCTCAATCTCCTGATCTCATGATCCACCTGCCTCAGCTTTCCAAAGTGCTGGGATTACAGGTGTGAACCACTGTGCCCTGCCAGAATTTGTAATTTTAACAATACCCAGAGGCTTTTCGTCATGAGGAAAGTTTGGGAAATGCTGCATTAAACTCGATAGCCACAACAGCCTAGTGAGGAAGATAATACTGATCTGCCCAACATCACACAGATGGCAAGTGGAATTCAAATCTGGGTCCACATGTCTTTTATACCTCTTGTAGAAAGGGGATGATAGCAGCCACCTGTGTATCTCACAGGTTGTGAAATGATGGAAAGACAGTGTGTGCGTCTGTTCTTACCTCACTCAAAAGAAATGCCTGGCTGGGTATGGTGGCTCATGTCTGTAATCCCAATACTTTGGGAGGCTGAGGCAGGCAGATTGCTTGAGCCCAGGAGTTAGAGAACAGCCTAGGCAACATGATGAGACCCTGTCTCTATAAAAAATACAAAAATTTGCCAGGCATGGTGATGTGCACCTGCAGTCCTGGCTACTCTCAAGGCTGGGGTGAGGGAGTCTCTTGAGCCTAGGAGGTCATGACTGCAGTGAGCTGTGATTGCACCACTACACTCCAG